GGCGAAACAGGCGGTACTCGTAACTGGCTCATTGGTGATTTAGTACAAGTGTAGCCATCTATGTTTAAAAACAATTAAACAAGTAAACTCGCAATGGGCATGGCATGTACGTACATGTCATGCCGTCGACAAAGGGTTAATTTAGATTATCATACTCACGATTATATAAAGCAGTCTACCCACACATGAAAGAAGTCAAAGAAAATGAAAGAGCTTCATTATGATCACAGAAAACTAAATTGAAGGGTGACTTCTTTATTACACAAAATTACTCGGTACCTAATATATTGCTTAAAAAATGTAATAACAGGCAGAAAAAATACAGGTAATATCTGACCTCCTTAATCAAATCTCTTTAAGTATATGTAAGTATGCGTATGTATATATATATATATATATATATATATATATATATATATATATATATATATATATATATATGTATGTGTATATGCATACTATATGCTTACATATGTGCATACTGTTTGCTTATGTATATGGATATGCATATGAACATATTCAGTTCCAGAACTATATTTCAGTACACTTAATGGGTCCTATTTTTGTACATCTGGGAACAACTTTTAAACGTAGAGTGAATTCTCGGATTCGAGATGCGCGGCGCATGCGATCATAGTTGCTACGCAACGACAACTGCAGTGAGGTTGTTTGTAACAAGGGGTGTGTTTGGTAAAATATAAATGACCAATAAGTATATCAGTATTTACTTTTGAAGCTACATAAGCAATTTGATTTTGACTTTTTTAAAAGTAAGTGATAACAAAGCATATATTAATAAACGCTGATTGTACAGTGGGATATTTTTCAAATGCGATTTCCTGGAATTGTTTGTTTATCGAAACGGCAACACCTATGGCACTCACCCTTCTTTCAACACAACAGTTATCAATTATAGCTGCACGGTTTTGAAACATTATAAGAAAACTTTACACTTTAATCATCCATGTATGGCAGCTTAATCAAATAAAAATCTCTGACACATTTACAATTACTTGCTGCTGCACCATCTAGTAGTTTTTCTTCTTTTCGCTTGAACCAAACAATGATTCAAGAAACAGGAAACATATAGAACATTGACTGAACGTAAAACCGCAGTAGGCCTACAGTGAATATATATGTTTCATCATTGTGTGCGTGCATGTAACTCAAAACTTTGTGATGAGTTACGAAACACTATGTTTAATTCGTTTCGGTTATTCTGAGTCCTCTTTATATTGTGTCAAGATCTGACATTTTGACGAAATGGAATTTCATCTACGTTTATCTGTCATATATGCAATATTTATTTTCTTTTTATTTGCCAGTGCACGTATGTTTACAGTATATGCCTAGATGAAATTAACCTAACAGTCCTTCGTTGTAAAATCAAAGTTTTGATTCATTATTTTGATGTTTAGGATAGAAATGATAATTTCCTGGTGTGAAAAGTTGTTTGGACGTTTTTGAAAGATGAACCATCTAGAAAATAAAAAACAACGGAATTGTATATTTGATATCCTTTACGCAAAT